TTTCCATCACTTCTTCTGTGATTTCATTTGGTCTCATGTTTTTGATATCATCTCTACACTAACGACTCCCCAAATTATATTTCTAGCCTAGACCTCTTTCCTGAACTCTAGAATCCTATGTCTAATTGGCTACTGAACAGCTCCAGTTGCTTGACTAATACACACCCCAAACATAACAATACTGAGTTCCTAATTGTCCCTAAAATTTGCTCCCCCTGCATTCTTCCTCAGCTAATAAATAGCACCTCCATTCTTTCAAAACTTAAGTTATATTATGTAATGCCTCTACTTAGAAGCCTCCAGTATTTTCCTGCTTCTCTCGGGTCCTCATGACCTGTCCTTTGTCACTGCGTTTATATTGTCTTTCATATTCTCTGCTGGTTCGTTCCACCTCAGCTACACTGGTTGTCCTGCCCCAGATGATCTTTGTATTTATTGTTCTCAATTTCTGGAAAGCTCTGCCCCAGATGTCTACATAGTTCCCTCTTTTGCTCTCTTCAGATGTTGCTGTCTCATCCAGGCCTTCCATGGCCACCCCATCTAAAATTGCAACCCTGCCTCTGTATACTTCCTAACTCCCTTCCCTGTTTTACTATTAGCTTTATGACTTACCATGAACACACTATACATTTTGCTTCTTTATCTTGATTACTATAAAGTCCCACTACCAGAAATGCTTTTTTATTCACTGTTGTGTACCCAGCACCTTGAACAGTGTCAGGCATAAAGTAGGCTCTCAAAAAATATTTGTTCAATGAATAAATGGATGAAGATAATCAGCAATAATAAGAAGAGCCACTCTTAGGTAGAAAGGTAAGTAGAAAGTAAATGAGATAAGTACTTCATCCATGTTAATGCACAATAAATGTTAATTATTTACATTATTAGCATATACTCATTGTAGCTGTTGGAAATAATTTTAAAGTGGGGACTGTGAGAAGAGAAGAAATTGCAGTCAAAATAAGGGATAATATAGAAAGAATTAGTTTTGCAAGTCAACCTCAGGCAAGGTAAAGACAGCTGATGGAAACACCCTGGAGTTTGGCCCTGATGACAAGTTCCTAGGTCTACCTGGAGGTGAGGGTATGAGGGGGTAAGGAGGTGGGGGGCAGGCTGGGGTTTGTAGGACTGGGTTCATGGGAGCCACAGGCAGTCTTCTGTATAGTTCAGGGTGAGGCTGTGTGCTGATCCCTTATTTCCATCTTGAGTATCCCTAGCAGCTCTCCTGTTTCTAGGGTGAAAGGAAAGGCTTGCAGTATCTGTCTCTAGGACTACATGTGCATACTCTTCAGTCCAAAGAGATTGTGCATACGTTCATATATTTTTTAATAGAATTTTTTGCTTTCAAAGTATAAATCTGCTTGGGGGCTGACAGCATCAGAGAGTCCCCATTATGCCGCATTCTGCCTAATACACAGTGATATCACGTGCCTTTTTTTTTTCTTCCACAGATTGGAGTAAAAAATAATTTACCTACGTCTAGAGAGGCACCATCAGTTGCAAAACATATTTTAAAGTGTAAGTGCAATTTAAAAAAGGCACTCTAATTCTTGAAGCTATAAAGGATATATAATTCTCAAGAGCCTTTGTATCCAGATGTAGATGTATCTGATTAGCTGGTACAGACGCAGTCCATGAATAAAATTCCTTCATAAGTCATATTACCATTGGATTTTATAACATAAAGTTGACTTACATGGATTTTCCCTGGACTTCACTAATTGACTTCCTATACTCCCATTAATCAGTTCTGGGAACAAAGGTAAAGAGGCTTTGTAACTGCCACCTCTCTAGCTGACAGTACGAACACAATGTGTGGAGATGCAGATGCAGATATTACGTTCTGTAACCACGTGACAAGGAGCCCTGGTGGCACAGTGGTTAAGTGCTGGTCTGCTGAGAGGTTGTCAGTTTGAACCCACCAGCTGCTCCGTGGGAGAAAGATGTGGCAGTCTGTTTCTGTAAAGATTTACAGCCTTGGATACCCTATGCAGGCAGTTCTACTCTGTCCTATAGTGTCACTATGAGTGGAAATCGATTCGACGGCAGGGGGTTTTTTGGTTTTAAGCATGTGACATTACGTGATACTTTCCCAACCTTTTCCACTTTCAGAGAGGAAACAGTGGCAACCTCTATATTATGTGCCTCGTTTTTTTTGTCTACAGTTTGTAATTGGTTTCGCACATGGAGTGTGAACTTTGCTTGTTACACAGGTGCAGACATGGCTGAGGACCTCTCATCTGTGAAGTTAATTAAAAGGCTCAATCTTATTTCTTTCAAAATGGTAACCGCAGACTCTATACTAAAGTGTGGGGTATGTGTATATATGTATACATATGCATACATTCAATGTAAACACATATTATGAGAGAAAAAAAGTAGGTAATGACAGATTTTGATAGAAAAAGAGTGGGGAAAAGGACAAGAAGGGAAGGGAATTAGCACTCATTAAGCTTCTACTCTGAACCAACCCATTGCCGTCGATTCCAACTCAAAGCAACCCTACAGGACAGAGTAGAACTGCTCCATAGGGTTTCCAAGGAGTGACTGGTGGATTCAAACTGCTGACCTTTTGGTTAGCAGCTGAGCTCTTAACCAGGCACGAGGGAAAAAAGGCAATGGGGGAAACTGGGAAGGGGGTGCAATTATCTAGATGCTAAAGAACAAACATGTAGAAAAAAAATCTCCCTCCTTAAAGAAGAGTTCTGTAAAAATGGAAGCTGGTAACCCATTAGGCAGTGCTTGTCAAGCCATTCAGAGGGACAGCAGAAGGCTGTGGGGCGCTAACTTGGGCTTCTCTCTCCCCTAAGTGCTGGGCTGCTGTCTCGCCATGAGACGTGTTATCTTGGAAGTTCTGCTGAGCAGTCTAGATAGCAGGACTTAAATGTGCAAGTCCCTAAATAGGGTTCAGCTTCCCAGAATACAAATCCTCAGAGAACCAAACAAGGTCAGGAAAAACCAACCCAAGACATTTCCTTTTAAACCCTAGAGAATGGTAAGAGTCCCCACAATTAAAACAATCCCAGAAGACTATATATTGGAGGTTTCTCGGTTCCTTTTTTTAATATATTCATCACGGGTGCTTAAAATGTCTTTAAATTATGTCTTGTGATTCCTCTGAGGTATTGAGATGATGGAGAGAGGAAAAGGGTGACCTTACAGAGTCTCTGGGAAGATGGGAGGAAGGTCAGGTCCAGCTGAGGTTGGAACACAACAGAGAGAAAGGGATGAAAGCAGTAGCCATTTTGGATTTCTTTAACGTAAGCCCTCAAGAATTTCTGTTTAGCAACTCCTGGCCAATTACAGGTTTTGTTTAGATGTCACTTTTGCTTCCCCCACTCCCACTGCCCCAACATCACATCACATATCCTCAGCATCACTGGGCTTATTACAGGGGACTCTCTACGGCCATTTGCATTTTGGGGTAGACAGCATCATTTGGTCCAAATTCTTCCTCATTCCCTACATCCATGCTCCTTGCCAGGTAATTTTGTAGTGCTCTTCCCCTGTGGGTGGGTGGCCTGTCTGGCCTCTTGACTCTGGACTCAGCCATACGGTTTTCTTTGGCCAATAGAATGTTTAAAAGATATGATGCAAGCAGAGGCTGAGAATGGACTTGAACACTTGACCTTGCTCTTTTGCCAGGAGAAGAGTGAGAGACGCATGGCACTGGCTAAGGTGCCCCAGCCAAACCCACAGACCCTAGTGAGCCCCGCTGGGAGAAGCAGAACCATTCAATCCAGCCCAGCCCAGAACAGCTGAACCCTGCAGATGTGTTATAAATAGTGTTTATTATTGGATGCCACTGGGTTGTGTGGTTGCTTGTTATACAGCAAAAACTAACTGATAGCAATACCATCGATCCAGTCTCCTCATGTCTGCCAGAGTATTATTTCTAAAATGGAAATGCAATCATCTTAAGATTACTTTGCATAAGGCACTTCAGTGACTCCACATTACCTTTAGGGTAAAGTCTAAACTCCCTCAAAAGGTACATATAAGTACTTTCATAAGACAGCCTCTGGATGTATTTCTGGTCTCATCCCTCATTGAATCCCACCAGCTTCAGCCTTACTAACTGAACTACACTGAGCTATTTACAGACTTTGTCCAAGCTCCTCCCTTGGCCTAAAAACGCCTTTCCTGCTACTCCCTGGCCCCACTAGATCCCAAAAAGCTTTATCTAATTAACTTCTATTTTCATCTTAAGCTTCAGAAAAGGTATCACCTCTGGAATCCTTCCTCTGACATTCCCAAACGTAACAATAGGAGGATGCCCAACCAAGTGCTCCCCAAACGTCCTATACCAGACATTTCTGTGACAGTAGTTATCACGCTCCTGGTAGTGAATTGTTTGTTACACATCTTTATCCTGATCGACTGACTTGATAATGAACCTCTTGGAGGCAGGACTGTATACTTTCTGTCCTTGTATCCCTAATACCTAGCAGAGCTCTTAGCACAGAGTTGCTGTGCAGCAAATGTTTGTAGAAGGAATCGATGCGTGTTCACACGCAAATAGCCAAACAGATGTGTTCTTGGCATATGGGAGACACATTCTGCTTGTGTGACAATCAGCAGTTGAGTTTGCTTGGAAGCAGAAGCACCCAGTTAAAGACCAAACATCGCTCCCTTATTCTTCTTCATTTCCTTCTCTTTCTGTAACTACCCAATCTCACATGCTTTATAATGTTTTTAGACGTAAGTGACCGTGAATTATTACTGACTCCGGGCCTTTCATCTTCAAGACTGACAGTCTCTATCCCACTTCTCTCAGGAGGGAGAGGCTATTATAACTATATTTTTGCTTACCAAGAGAATTGTTAATGGTTATCCTGGAGGGGAAAAAAAATCTATAAAAACCCAACTCATAATGAAGTCGTAAGCTTACTTTCTTCCTTTACTAATGAAATTCCTTCCGAGTTCACTGCCAGAATTGCTACGTAACCATTACCCTGAGAAAGGAGACAGACTGTAGGGATGTTTTTCCTTCCTCTTACCTGTTTAGTCCTCATTTTCGAATCCGACGACAGATTGTTGTAGGTATAATGTGCCTGGGTGACTCCGCAGAAAAGTACAGCAACTATCCCTGAAATTCAAAAACAGAACAGTCAAAACCACGTTTCTTTCCTGTCTAAGTCAAAGGGTAGGGATAGCCCAGCTTGAAAATGGACTTGGTGTCAGGAAAGTTAAAACTGCTAATAGTTACCATGATAATGGAACCGAGGTATATCTTGCTACTTGCTTTAAACACAGGTCTTCTAGGATCAAACTACAGAAAAGCATTAAGAAATAGATTTTTCCTGGGGATAATTGTATCCCTGATCAGTTAGGAAAGTTAGAGTTGGAAGCACATGGACAAAAGGCTGTATAGTCAACTCTGGACTTCTCATTGCCAGGGCCAACTACTTTGCTGCATTTTACACTAAAAGCTGGCATAATAGCTCTAAGATATTTGCTTCCCACTGTGTAACTTGGGGAGTCTGAAGAGGTTTCTGTCATACCATAATTCAGGATTAAAATCCATGAGTCACACACTTAAGACATCTACAAGGGTTTTGTTGCCCCTGCCAATGGTCCTACTTGCCAAGCAAGAGAGAGAGGTCTTTGTTTGCTCTATATCTACTTGGCAAAGCTGAGCACTCAGTCTTTCTTCTGCTGAATAATTTAGTGAATACACCCAAGGCACCCACTCCCTTAAGGCAGGCCAGTTTGCTCTTGTGTTCCTACCAGCAAGTGGGCTCTCAGCTGTTCCTTGGCTGGCTGCAGGACTTATTTCTTATTTCACCATAATACCCAGCTTTAGAAATTGGTGTTTCAGTGGTAGAATTCTTGCCTTCTATGTGGGAGACCCGATTTGATTCCTGGCCAATGTACTTTATGGGCAGCCAATGCCCATCTGTCAGTGCTGTGATGCTGAACAGGTTTCAGTGGAGCTTCGAGACTAAGATGGACTAGAAGAAAGGCCAATGAAAACCTAAGGATCACAAAGGTCTTATCCGCAACTGATCATGGGGATGGTGCAAGACCTGGCAGCATTTCCTTCCATTGTTCATGGGGTCACCATGAGTCAGGGGCTAACCATATGGCAACTAACAAGAACAATAATAACATACACAGCTTTATAGGCTACATGGAGTCACATGTACACTAGATGCTCCCTGGGCACAGAGGAGCAGCAACCATGGGGCAAATGTGTTATTTGTCCCTGGACTGGGGTGGGTAGGGAGTGGGGGTTGAACTCTATTTTGGATCAAAGATTAGATTAATTATGGGAAATTTGGCATGGAGGAGGGCTTTGGGAAAAATACAAGATATAAGTATTCCTCAACTCAGACGAAGGAGCTTGAATTGAATTTTAAGCAGCAGAATCTTTTCAACTAAAAACACTCATAAATTAAATGCTGATGATTCTTAAGAGTATAGGGATATGTGAACTGAATACTGACATTTCAAGTGGATCTGCAATAAAAATTTAAAGAACCGACCTTATTTTTTAATATGTAGACTGTATGGATTTATTTACATGTTGGTTATTTTTCAGTTCGATGTTAGATAAAATATTGCTAACATAGATTTACATAATACAAGGGCATAGACATTTACATTATTTATTTCATTTTAATATTATGCTTCAAAATTTTAAGCCAAAAGAATAAAAACAACCAGGAAATTTTGCCAAGAAATATATATTCAGGAAGCATTTCTGCAGCTTCTTTTGTAACTTTAATTACTTAGTATCTCTTCAGAAATTCTAAGAAAAATGCTTATAAAATATTATATTTCACTCTTCATAGAGTTTCTATTAAAAAACAACCAATACCAGGGCAATTTTTAGGGTGTGGAAGCACTTGAAGTAACCTCAAGGCTTAGGAAGATGGCTGTGCATGCTGTTTTGGCATCAAATATTTCTCTTTATTTATTTAAAAATATGATTTATCTGTTTCTGCTGGTTCTGTAACCTGTTGCTGGTTCTTTCTGGGTGAGGTTTTAGCTGACCCTCTCACTGCTCTGGAACTATTCTGACTATGTATTGATCTGTGGAGAAGTAGTGAATAAAAAGGGGGAAGGGTGGGTAGTGAATAAATTCATTCTGAGAACAAGGATAAGTAACAAACAAGTGTTATAAAGAACAGGGAAGATTGAGTGAATACCTACTGTGCTAATTTCATTTATATCGCCTTATTTATTGCACGGATTCATTACCTTGCAATAGGCTTACCACAATTAAGAGGCCCTCACACTGTCTTGGCTCCCTGGGTGATATAAACAGTTAATACACTCAGCTGCTAACCAAAAGGTTGGAGGTTCAAGTCCAGTTCACCCAGAGGCACCTTGGAAGAAAGGCATGGCATTCTACTCCCGAAAACTCAAGTCATTGAAAACCCTATGGAGCACAGTTTTACTCTGACACACATGGGGATGCCATGAGTCCGAGTTGACTCAATGGCAACTGGTTCTCTCCATTTTCCCCTTCTCAGTAATAGCATCTCCCTTCTTCCTGCTGCTCCAGACAAAACATTAGGATCATCCTTTAATTTTCCTCTCTTACTGGACATCAGCAATCTTGTTGGATCATCCTTTGAAACTTACCCTGAGCCCAACCACTTCTCAACACCTCCAACCCTAACCTCCTTATCCAAGCCACCATCATCCTTACCTGGATTACAGCAATAACCTCCTGATTGGCGTCCCCTACTTTCCTCCTGGAGCCCTAGTGGCACAGTGGGTTAAGCACTCAGCTGCTAACTGAAAGGTTGCTGGTTTGAACCCACCAGCCGTTCCATGGGAGAAAGATGTGGCAGTCTGCTTCCGTAAAGATCTACAGCCTTGGAAACACTATGAGGCAGTTCTACTCTATTCTATAGGTTGCTATGAGTTGAAATTGACTCAGTGGCAATAGGTTTGTTATGTACAAATATACACAAAAACTGTCCCCTTTCATTTTCCTCTATCTGCCTATCCTGCTTGTTTTTCTCCATATTTCTCTGCACCTAACATTTTACACATCTATATGTTCATTATCTGCCTTCCCTCACTGCAATGTAAGCTCATTCAGGGCAGGAGGGTTCACTGGTCCCTAACCCCTAGAGCAGTATGGGGCAGATAGCAGGTGCTCAGTAACTATTTTGTTGAATAAATAAATGAACACTCCCATCCCCATGTTACTAGTAAGAAACTAACTCATTCAAGGTCACTTTGGAAGTGGCAGAACTGAGATTCAAATTAAAGCATTTGGCTCCAAAATTCCAGACTCCCTATTCTTTTCTGCTTGTATTAGATCATTAGTGGATGTTTCAAGGTGATCTTATTGTTGTTAGGTGCCATCAAGCCAGTTCTGACTCATAGTGACCCTATGTACAACAGAACAAACCACTGCTGGGTCCTACGCCATCCTCATAATCGTTGTTATGCTCGAGCCCATTGTTGCAGCCACTGTGTCAATCCATCTCATTGAGTTTCTTCCTCATTTTTGCTGATGCTCTACTCTACCAAGCATGATGTCCTTTTCCAGAGACTGGTCCTTCCTGATAACATGTCCAAAGTACGTGAGTCAAAGTCTCACCATCCCACTTCTAATGCATGTTCTATCTGTACTCCTTCCAAGACAGATTTGTTTGTTCTTCTGGCAGTCCATGGTATATTCAATATTCTTCACCACCACCATAATTCAAATGATTCTTCTTGGTCTTCCTTAATCATTGTCCAGCTTTTGGATGCATATGAGGTAACTGAAAACACCATGGCTTAGGTCAGGCATGCCTTAGTCCTTAAAGTGACATTTTTGCTTTTTAACACTTTGAAGAGATCTTTTGCAGCAGATAAGACGATTTTAAGCCATCTAAAATAAAATCGTATCTTATCTAGAACTGGCAAATGTATAGAGACCAAGGTTTATCAGTGGTTACCAGGTTCAGGAGGGAGGGCAACAGGGGGAGTCATTCCCTAGGGGGCACTGAGTTTCTGTTAAGCATGATGGAAAAAACTGGAAAACGACAGTGGTGATGATTGTATAACATGGTGAATGTAATTGAAGTCACTGACATTTTTGTACATGCAAAAAACATTGAAATAGTCTATGTTTTGTTGTGTATATTTGTACTTAACAAAAACAAACAAATAAACAAACTACAGTAACATTTCTTATGTCCCAGGGAAATAGCCAGAGGTTTGCTGATGAAGATTACAAGCTCTCTGTGCTTCTCATAGGAAGATATTTTCCCTAGTATCCCTGCCCTGATTAGGACAATTACAGTGATGTTCCCTCTAAATACTTTCTTAGTTTTAGTGACGTATCTACACACACAACAACAAACAATGAAGAGTGTGCCAATATGACCAGAGGCTTGGTATTGTAATTAAAGTAAAACAACAAAGTTGATTTGACCCTTAGTATTGGCATACACAATCATAATTATGTAGCTTAGTAATTAATTCATATAAATTACCATAATTAGTATGACCTTTACAAGCCAAAACACATTTTAAAAAACATCTTATCCAAATACATTTATAATCTATAAAATTCTCTGCCATCCAAACAGATTCTGAGTTGACAGTTTTCTGCATTATACATGCACATGTTAATTGTCATTACATTTTACATACCCACACCTTCTCTGCTAGAACTGGTTGTGCCACTGAAATATGGGCCCCAGGTAACTCTCTTAAATGTGCTGGATCTCAGGTTCTCATGTGTAAAAATGATGTGGGAGACCAAGTGTTCTTGGGGCTAGTCAGCAAACCAGCATCTCAGCTCCAAACCCACCCTTCTCCACTCGCTGTGATCCTGGAGCTGGGGCTGCAAACCACATTTGTTCTTTGCCAGAGGCTCTCTGTCAGGCTCTGCCAACATGGCACACCAGAGGAAGACTAGAACGTAGGAGGAGAGAGGACTTTCTCCTTCCTGTTTGCCTGCTGATACTGTCAGCTTCATTTCAACAATGGCTCTTCACCCTGGTTTTGGCAGTTGGTTCCAGCCTCTTTTTTCCCCCCCCAGAATTCAGAACTAGCCTCATGGCAACCCCTCAGAGACATCAGCAGCAGCAGGGCATTATTCTCAGAGGTCTGGGTCCTAGCTCAGTGGTT